ACCACTAACAATTGGGGACCATAACCTATATATTCATAAGATAATGACTATTCATTATCTTTCATTTGTTTTAAATCGGCCCCTCAACAATATAAAACAAACATCCGGTCTCTACACTTTAATTCCATGAAACTTTAATACCCATTAGTCAAAAATTTGTCTTTTGTGGATCACTTTAATAACTATACTTTAAATAATAGCACTACACATTTTAATTTGTTACTTGTTGCCCCAAATATTGTTAGAATATTCCAACAGGAGTCTCCAAAACATGATACTAATCAATATATAAAATGTTTTTAATGTGTGATGAAGAAGAAAGTTCCCAAGGAGAGTTGCATAATGAAGTTAGAGGAAGCAGTGAAGTACATGCTTGACGATGAAGGTATGGGGCCATTGGACACACTTCAATTAATTGATGACATTCAACGTCTAGGCTTGGGATACCGTTTCAGAGACAGTACAAAATCTGCACTCGACAGAATCATATGCTCAGAAAAAGTGATGGACCATAGTATTCATACTTGTGCTCTCTACTTTACCCTCCTGAGACAACATGGACACGAGGTTTCTGCAGGTATGTAGTCATTCACTCATAGTTTTTTCTTTTTTTAATCAATGAAAGCAAGTTATAAACATAAAGTATTTAGCTAAAAGAGTAATGCTAGGATCATCGTGTTTACGTGACATTGAATGATATATACAATAATATAGATTTCCAGTGTTTACATTTAATTTGATCTATCAGTTAATGTTATTGTCATATCATATAGGCTGATATGATCACGATGACAAATAATATTATTCTAACTAGAATAAAAGGTACGAAGAATAGGAAAACTCAAGGCAAAAGTTGATGCTTATTTTTAATATATTTCTCAACTACAGACGAAGGATTCATGAAACAGCCAAAGTGCATTGATTATTAGAATCTTATGTCCATTTGACTCCCTATATTCCTTAAAGAATTTTAGCCATAAATAGCTGGCTTTTTATCTTGTGCTCAGACATTTTCGAGAATTTCAAGGACCACAATGGCAACTTCAAGGGAAGCCTGGCCCAGGATATTCCAGGAATGTTGACGTTGTATGAAGCTTCACATGTTGCATACAATGGAGAGAATATATTAGATGAGGCAAGAGAATTCACAACTATGAACCTCAAAGAAATGCTGGGAAAAATTGACATGAAAATGGGTGCACGAGTGAGCCATGCCTTGGAAATTCCATTTCAGTGCAGAATGCAGAGGCTAGAAGCCAGGTGGAATATTGAAGCATATACTAAAAAAGATGAGGCAAATCAACTGCTACTTAAATTAGCAAAATTGGATTTCAACATGGTCCAATCCATGCTCCAAAGAGATCTCCAACAAGTCTCATGGTAATTTTACTATATATATATATATATATAGTGTTAGGAAACAAACAAGATACAAAAATCGCTCTGATACCACTTTGTTGAGAATCCAGTCAAATAATTAATGGCGAGAATAATATGAGAAATATGAAAATAATGGATCACACAACAACCAAGATTTTTGTTGAAGAAAAGGAGAATTTATTATAGCAAGAGATTAAAATTGTCTTCACAAGATTTGATTCTCTCAATCTAAATCTAAACAATTATATCAAGTTTCTAATGAATACAACAATGATCTAATTGTTGTTTTCAGTCTCTAAAGAGTCTACACCTTGTGGAGTATTTATATGAGCCAAATCTTAGAGTCCTTAAACCCAATCAAACTCTCAATCTTGTATGAAATTTGATCATTTATCTAACAGAACTTTTAAATCAAAATTATTTAGACTTCCTCCATAAATCAAACTTTCAAATCACATGGAATTTGAGTTACAAAACATAAGGAATACCATAAAGAAAAATATGTTTTTATAATTTACCCTTCATCTGGTATGAAGTTATATGGAATATGGATGCGGTTAATTTCAAGAGCCTGCGCATGGTCCTCTATATATAATAATATTGAATCTAAATGAACATAAAGGTACAAATCTAAAATGGTTAATAATTAACATGATTTCTATCTCAATTTATATATTATCAATTGTAATTATAGTTTTCTTGAAAATTTTATAGTTGGTGGAAGGATGTGGGCTTAGCAAATAAGTTGTACTTTGCAAGAGACAGGCTGATGGAGAGCTTCTTTTGGTCAGTTGGAATGGTATTTGAACCACAATTTAGTGAATGCAGAAAAGGTTTAACCAAAGTGGCTAAGCTAATTACTATTATAGATGATGTTTATGATGTTTATGGCTCTCTTGAAGAACTTGAACAATTTACTGATGCCGTTGAGAGGTTTGTACTTACAGAAAATAATGCGAGTTATTGCATTTTTGTACTTTAAAGCACAAATTTAATTAATTATTTTTATCTGATTTTTGGTGCTCTTATTGCAGATGGGATATCAATGCTTTGCAGCATCTTCCTGGCTGCATGAAGATATGCTTTTTAGCTCTTTACAATACTGTTAATAGCATAGCATATGATGTTCTTAAGGATCAAGGTCAGGTCATCCTTCCTCAGCTCACAAAAGTGGTAAGTACATCAATATTGTTATAATATATTTAAATATAAAAAAAAAAAATTCCCTTATTATCTTATTTTCTTTAAAATATACTTTTTCATACTTTTGATTAGATGATATCATACGTTTTTGTTATTATAAATATAGTTATTTTATTTTTAAATATAATGAAACGTGATATTGTTTTTCTTAAGCCCCTGATTGAGCCACATTAAAATTTTCATTATCATTCTTTTACTCATTTTCAACTACACATTCTTCAATAAAATAATATTTTCCATCACATCAATAACTTTTCTGTGAAGCAAAACCACCTACTTTGCACCAAGATACCGGGCTCAGTATTTCCAATCGACTCCACAAAGAGAAAACCCAAACCAAATCACTCCACACCCTCAACTGGTTGCTCTCATTTTCTGCCCACACACGAGAACTGAGAATGGAGGTTATAATAGACACCTAAAACAGTCACTAAAGCTATAGGAAAGTGAGAAGCAATAGCACAGTGAAAACACTAAGCAATAGGCAGAGAGCACGAAGCAAATAGCCAAAGACCGCCACTAGTTTCTTCTCAAATAAAAAGCTCAATTATTATTCTCACATAAGGCACAATAATGAACACGGTAGATATATGGTAGAATTAGGTATGAGCTAGGCACAATTATTCTCATTGTAATCAATCCCCTCTTTCTGAGTATATCCTTTGGCCCCTAACATATCCTTAAACCTTAAGGATTCAAATGTACTAGTACCCTCTTTAATCTTAAATACCCACTTACAGTCAACAGTAGAAATATCTATAGGTTTAGGTACTAATTCCCAAG